ATATCAAATTAAACCTTCTGCTTACCACCCATAAATATTGCTTCGCTTACCACTCATAAGCATCTTAAAGAACTGACCGTAACATTATGTACCCATTTTGGGATTTTCATGTATACTATACTGAAACTGATTTTTATAATAAAATATTGCATCACCGCATCTTTAAAAAAAATAATAATTACAAGAAAATAAAATTTAGTTTATTGGATTTATCTTATTAAGACCTATTAAATAATTATATTTTTATATTTTTGAGATCAATATATAATAAGATATATAAATTTAAAATTTTAATTTTTTTCATAATAATTTATCACATATTTATCTTTAAAATATCACTAATTAATTACATTTTTTTTTGAATTTTTACTTAAAATTATTATAAATAATTTTAATTATTAAATAAAATTGCAGACAAATTTTCTTGCAAAACGTTTGAAGGAATATTATCTTATTTTATAAAAATAATAGGTAAATATAAATATTTAAGTAAAAATTTTATATAAGCTAAAGTATTTAAAATATTGAATTTTGAATCTTTAAAAAATTAAAAAAGTTTTATTAAGATATTTAATAAATTAATATAGATTTATTAAAATAAATAAAACAAAGATTATTTCTCTATTAAATATATTTAAATATGAAATACTCTAATATTAATTGTTAAACTTAAGAAAGAATATTAATAGTATAAAATATTGTTCCTTTAGAATAAAAGGGTTAAAACGTATATAATAATTTAATAACACTAGGAAATGGGTTGTTGAGTCTGACACTTTTCAAAATAAGAAATTTCATTGGTTTAAGATCACGTGCGCGGACAGAGAATGCAATGATCTCGTGACCGAAAAAATTTCAGACATACTGTATATTGTCTTACGCATATCCGTGCAATTTGGAAGGGAAGCTTGGTTAGACATAAATACAACTTTCCAAAAATGGACGGATATGGCTTCGCTCCAGACAATTATAAAAATTTATGGTTCATATATTAGAAATTATAAATTCACAAATCAATTTAAAAATAGCGATTTTAATTCAAAAAACCTCGAGAATTACTATAATACATGTTAGCATTTCTTTTACATTAATCAAGTTATTGATGTTTTGGTTTTCCGACCTTTAAAAATGAACCACCACCAAAATATCTATCATTAGCTTCCTTTACTTTCTTTTGTGCTTCCTCTGGATTAATTAGTTCAATTCCTTGTACGGGAGTAAACGCGAGAGACGATGATAATCCCGAAGTAGCTCCGGAAGATCCCATAAATTGATGCCTCTTAGGTGCTTTAGCTGAACAATTAATTAAAAAGTAATATTAAAAAAATATTTTTTACCTTTTTTTTTAAAAAAAAAATACGATATACGGCAAAATATTAATTTGCATACCTTTAACTCTAGGATCAGCCACCGAAGCACGAATTTTACCCGAATTTTGCCCAATTAAACCTAGTCCCTTTGTCTTATCAAATGACCCAGTTTCATCCTCTGCAACACCAAAAGCCATTCTATTTTGAGCTTTTCGCAATTCTGTAACCGCATAAGCCTCTTTCATTCGTCGTACTCTAAAGTAAACAAAATTTTTTTTTTTTTTAATAAATATACTTGCATATAATTTACAATTTTACTCACAATATTAAAACCTACTTCTTGCCAGCTCTTCTCTTTTTTGGACCTTCATCGGGTATAGGTAAGGGTTTGACAGTTTTAGATGGAGGTGGCTCTTGTAACTTTTCAAGTTTTTTATCAATTTGTTCACGTAACGATCTTCCAAATGAACCTAAATTCATATTTTGAAAAGAGTTTAATATAATAATGATAAATGATGATTAATTAACATTTAAATATACCATCAGTCGATTCATGCGTTCGATCCATTCTGGCGGCCAAAGTACACCTAAAGATAAATCCAAAATTAAGAAATTTCGATATGAAAAAAGGGAATGCTTTTTCTGTAAGCTTACTTTGCTGCTACAATCTTTTGTGCTTTACTTCTGAGGTCTTGAGGAGTCCTTTGAATCAATTCTGATTGAAACAAGTATCCAGTATGTCTGGGAGTTGATGCACTTGAGAATCCAGTACTTGTCTTCTTTTGTACACCGATTAACTAATAAGTACAATTATTAAGAAATTCAAAGTTAATAAATAATATTAAGTTAAAGATGAAATAAAAAACACGTACCATAACATTACAAGACGGCATCTTGCAAAGAGCCATCAATCCACCAGCTTGCCCCAACATTTTGGCTGCGGTTGTACTTCCCACAATAGCCGAAAGGTTAGGTGCAATAAGCGTCATTCTAGACTCTACATATTCTAAAATCTGTAAACCAATAGTATAAATAAATTGTCATAATCTATTTAGTTAATATGAAGGTACAAACCTTTCTTTTGGCAGTATCCAATTCCAATGCCATATCACACGCGTCACTAACAATCGTACTCTCTTCATCAGTTAATTTTTGCCCATTGGTAGTAGATCCTGTAACGGTAACCACCATAACAGTAGCAGAAGGTAAGATAGATCTTAAGTCGACTTTGGTTAAATCCTATTATTAATAGGTCGAAACGTGAGGTTGGTAGCTATTAAGAGAACAAAAGAACGTAATTTCTCGCTAAATCGAATAGAAGCACTTCAAGGTAAAATCTAAGCAATACTAACCATTTCGTTCCCTATAGCCTTGACTGCTCTGGTATAATCTAACGGGTTAAGGACCAAAGATTCCAATTCAGGAAACTTTTTAGCATAATGATCTCTTATAAACTAAATAATGATTAGTCCAGAAGCCAAAGGAAATTTTATTAAATTAAAGCAAAAAAAATCTATACCTTATGAACTACTAAAATCTCGTTATCAATGTCTACTGTCAAATTATTAGCCTGGACTATAAGCTTATATTCCGGATCTTCTTCAACAGGACCCATTATTTGTTGAGAACGATTTGTATCTTTAAGTTTTTCAATTTTCTAAGTAAAATAAACGGTTAACAAAAACCAATTAAAAAACAACAAATAAAGGAAATATTTATAAACTAACCGTTAGGACCTCTCTCATTTGTCTAGTTCCAAGTAATTTAGCCACTTTCCTCACATCTTTAACAGATTTCATTTCGACATCTAGGTTCACATTTCTATCATCTTCTGAATCATCGTTCTCTTCCATTTCTTCTTCTAGATCTTCTAGATCACGCATAATCGCGTCGTCAGAGTCGTTATGTTCGTTTTGATCATCGTCATCATCTTCCTCATCACGAGTAGAATTAAAATCGGGATCAGCAAGTAACTCTTCTGCTAAAGACATAATTAAGAAATCGACTTCTTTTATATCTTGACAACAAAAATAGTGTAATGATTATAAACTATTGTACCAGGGTGCGTCATAAATTCGCCGCCGTTTTTATATTCGGAATTTTTAACGGCGTTTTAGACAAAACAAAAGAAAATTCTAGAAATTCATAATCGAGTAACCTGCAAAAGGAAGTTTATAAGCAATTTCTTCTGACGCTCTCTGTTACCTCTATACGATCAACTATCCCCTCCCAAGAAAGAACCCAAGAAAAAGGAATCACATCCGTGACAGGTGAAATTTCTTTTTTGGCATCTCGAACAACTTCGTCAATGAATAACTATAATGGAGCAGTCGCAGAATTCGTCCAACAGCAATCAATGCTTCTTGGAAATCAAACCAGGAGAAGATTATCAGCGTTGCATTTGGTGCATCAATTTCAGATCCCTAAAAGACAAGGAAAAACATAGCTTTACTCCGACAAAAGAACGATCAACTCCTTCTTCCTCGGAAACAAAATGGAGATGTGATTTCAAAGATCGAAGAGTGGGAATTCGGGAATTGTGCGGAGATGAATGCTTGGACTTCCTTATACCAGTTCAGACTAGTTTTCCAAATCAAGTCTCGTACTCAGTCAAAAGAAGTAATGTTGCCGTGCGAAAATTGCAAGGCTTGTCAGATGCTGTCAAGAATGATAGTAGGTTCCATGAACTCCAACCTAAACATCAATGGTTAATTGATCATATGGTATCACCAATATTAATCCATTGCTTGTAGATAATCATGGAATGACTGTTTTGTTTTTAGATAACCGTGGTATTCTGTTTGAATGGTGCGAATTAACACGAGACATGTATGTCTTAGGAATTAATGATATGGAAGGCCTTGCGAACTTTCTCTACCATCCGGAAAAGAAGCTTAACATTATGGAAGACACTGGTTGAGACGATACCTGATGTGGAACTTGTACGTCAAGCAAAAGAGTGGGCGGATGCTGAGTTTGTTAATTTAGCAAAACGTGATATAAGAAAGATCAGGTTGATAACTGCATCTTTATAAAATATTATAGGATTTTTTTGCAGAACATTATAGTACTTGGTATATGTGAGAAGTTTCTTTGCACTTTGGATTTAAACCATGTAATATAAAAATTATTATGATCAATAAAGAATAAACATTATCATGCGTAAAAAATAAAACCCAAAATGGGCGACTTTATTGTTCATTAAATCCAGCTCGAATGACATGATGGATGATAATTCAAAAGTTCGTTAGTATATATTCATTAAGACGGTTTTTCATAAACTAAAAAATCACGTGATTCCACTTAGTTCGCCAAGAAAAATTACGTTTTCCCTTATGGGCCGTAAAGCGATTTATAGTAAATTTTATCGATTTATAGCAATTCTTTATCATTCATATACAACATATACTAGAGAATATCATATGATTCAGATTTATACAGATTCATTGATCCGCCATGATGTATAAAAAAATAAAGCCCTTATATCGGGCGAAACTTTTATCATCATTTTAGACGATAAATTTTAATACAGAGAATGTGACCCGTATTACATCACGCGCATGGCGCAGCAAATTATCTTCTTGCAAACCTAATCAATATTTCTATGGCCACGTACACTTGATACTACCCATCAGTTTTACACATAACAAAACCTTCTAAATACTCAGCTGCTGGATTAGCCATAAAGTATATTGACACTATCTGTTAAATGTATATTATTATTAATTATATTTGTAACCCTTTTAGCAATTTATCAATTTCATAATAAGCAGGATATGAACTTGTAAAATTTATTTTAAGTTTCTCAGCTCATCACCTAACATCATATGAAAATTGTGTTTATTAATATATGACAATTGCGATTGTTTTTTGATCCAATAAGTGTTCTAATCATTTATTTTTCATATTTTAAAATCCCTGTTCTAGTATTCTAAATATGTTTAAAGTTTATAAATTT